TTAAGAATTGAACCTGGGCCCTTGGCAGTGAAAATACTGAGTCCTAACCACCACACAGCCAGGGAATTCCCCCACCTCCCATTCTAAGTCCTCATCCCTGAGGATGGATAGTAATAGAACCCGGTTTTAGAGCTGTTGTTCGGATCACGGGAGTGGTTTGTGCAAAGCCCTTAAATCAGGATTGGCATGGCAAACTGCTCAAAATTGTTAGCTATTATTTTAAGTAGGAAATTTGTTTATCCCTGTGGCAAGCAGCTCAAGGGTATGTCAAGACTGAAGTCAGTTTTACCTTACTGTTACCAAACTAAACTTGGGTTCTCTGGCTTTGTGCACAATAATGTCAATCTACTGACATGGAGTTGTGAAGGAAAGCACAGGGTTTGTTGTAGGTGCCAAAACAAAGAGTGTGGGCAGCTGATGGTAAAAAAAAACCCTGAGCTTCCTGATGGGCTTCAGGGAAGTGTTTTTATGGGTAAAGTGAGGGACAGGGAGGCGGCAGGGTGGGGATTAGCTTGTGCACAATTATTTGATTGGTTGATGGTGAGGATACCAGTTATCAGGGTGGTGTCACAGGAGTTAGCATCATCAGGCTCCAGTCAGTCTGAGGGCTATGTGCTCAGGGACATCATTCAGTTAGCCTCTTCCACTGGTGGGGGCTTTAGTATCTGTAAAACAACTCAGGAATGTGCATGAGATACGTTATCCATGTACTTCAGGGAGGAACTAAAGATTCTGTGATTGCCATATGGCTGATTTACTGTTTAAATTGTTACCAGTTCTCTTGGTTGAACTGTTACTTTTCTCACTACATGTTCACATACTTTTAATCAATAATTCTTTTTTAAAAAATAGTTTTATTTTTTAATTTATTTTTGGCTGTGTTGCTGCCTAAGACTTTTTCTAGTTGCATTGAGCAGGGGCAACTGCAGTGTACGGGCTTCTCACTGGCTCTGGGGTGAGAGGGCTTCAGTAGCTGTGGCATGTGGGCTCAGCAGTTTTGGCTGTCTGGCCCTAGAGCACAGGCTCAATAATTGTGGCATACAGGCTTGGTTGCTTTGTGGCATATGGGATGCTCAGTTGCTTAGTTGCTCAGTCATGTCCGACTCTTTGCAACACCATGGACTGTAGCCTGCCAGACTCCTCTGTCCATGGGATTCTCTAAGCAAGAATACTGGAGAGGGTTGCCATTCTCTTCTCCAAGGGATCTTCCTGACCCAAGGATTGAACCCTGGTCTCCTGCACTGCAGGTAGACTCTTTACCATCTGAACCACCAGGTACAATGAGTTGGTGGTTTTTTTTTTTTTTCCAGTGTTACAGCTCTATTTTATTTAGATAATAGCAGGAAAATCCATCTTCAAGGTGTGAGGGCATGTCGATCCAAAGACGGGAAGAGAAGAGCGCCCCATCGCGTGGGAGAGAGCGAGGGAGAAGAGCTTTGGCTCCTCTTTTTATATGTTTCTCTTTCCCTGGGCCTGTCCTGTGTAAATTGGGCCAGCTAGGAGTGTTGTTTGTTTTACCTGATGTTCTCACTCCAGTACTTGGACCTTCCTTTATTCTATTTTCATGGGTTTTTCCCTTCCAGGTCTTTTAGCCACTGCCATTCTGGACTCCTTTTCCCTATTCTAACTATCTAACATTCCCCCGCTCAAGAGATGGGAGGCCCAATTCTTTGGGAATAGGGGCATCAAGGTCTTTCTGGCTACTTCCTGCAGACCTGGGACGGCGAGGGGTATTGGGCCTCCCCCTCTTGCTAGTCTCAAGCCTCAGAGTCCTCATAGTGGTGTCCATCTAAGGGTGATATTTTCCGTGGTTGGCTGTAGTTTTATATCTTTGTTGAACTGGCACTGCATTTTGCAGCTTGACCTGGTGGCAGAGGCTTAGCATCTATGATCGCAAAACTGGAGACTACTGCATATCCAGCTCTTCTTTTTTCATCCAAGACAAAGCTGCTTCTTTCAGTGTACCAGATTTCCTCAGGATTGGTCAGAGGATCTTCTGACAGTCCTTCTCAGGGTTTTGCCCAGTGGTCCAAGGTTTCTTAACTGGAGGTCTTCTGGAATCTGAGGCTGAGCTGTGTGGGCTTTCTGCGGAGTTTGTTTTTCGCTGCCCCGGTTTCCAGTATGATGGGCCTTCCCCTGCGCTGGGTTTTCTTCGCGTTCTGCTTCTACCGGCCTCCTGCTGCACTTGGCCTCTTCCACGTAGAGGTTGTTTCAGCCAGGTTAAATTCGAGTCACGGCACCATAGATGTCAGGCGAGTGTATGCGCCTCGGTTCTTTGTCTCGTCACAACAAAAATTTGGAGTGACGGACATTAAAGCCCCCTCCGCGGATCACAGCTCTCGGGTCTTGGACAGACCATGTTATAGCTCTCAGGTCTCGAACGGACCGTGCTATAGCTCTTAAATAAATCAATATTACAGCTCGGTGTTACAGCTCTATTTTATTTAGGTAATAGCAGGAAAATCCATCTTCGAGGCATGAGGGCACATCAATCCAAGAGAGAGCGTTGGTGGGGTTTTTAAACAAAAAGCTTGTGACTTAAATTTGGGGAAGCATTAATCATCTTCACCTAATTTGAGGAGTAAACTTTGCATGTTAAGGCTGTAATTTAAATTATGGTGGGTTCATCTTGACCATTCATTCTGATGTAAATGAACTGAGCTATATTCTGGGCCCAGGGTAGCCTTCTCTTGCAAGGAGCTTACGTGAGGGGGAGTGGAAGAGGCCTCTGGATCTCCTGGCTCTGGTGAAGGGGTTGGATGCAAAAACCTGACAGGTTCCTCCCTTCTCTTGGATCCCACAGCCATGTTCTCCATGAGTAGCAAGGGATTGAAAATAAGAGAGTGACTTGGTTATTTCTCTCAGTTTTTTTTAAAAAAGAGAACTTTGTTTACATAAATGCTCCATCACTCTATTTTCATACTTTGGTCATGCTATAGGGCATGTGGGATCTAAGCCTCATTCCCTGCAGTGGGAGTGAACACAGAACCTTAACCATTGAACTACCAGGGAAGTCTTAAGACAATTAAGAAGGCTAAATATAGCCTTCCATCTTTGCCCCAAATGCCCTTGATCTTGACTTTGAAACCCATCAAGAGGGTTGGGTGTCTACTATCTGGGCTTCTTACTAGAGTTTTAATGCTAATGTTTAACAGAATTCAAATCATCTATACAAATAAGACGCAGAGAGAGAGCCTATTACAAACAGATCCCCCCTCTCCCCAGCAGCTCCAAAATAGTGGAGACAATTTGTTTGTTGAAGTCACTGGTGCTGACAAGCAGGCGGCCACCTCCCTGCCTGCTCTAGGGTGTCAGTGAAATCTGACACGGTCCTCGGCTTGTCAGCTTCAGTTCTTTAGGAGAAACAGGTGGTAAAGGGAGAAAACTGGAGACAGGCCACTCCTAAAGGAATCTATTGTGTGGCAGCTCATTGCATTTTTTTTTTTTTAATGAAAAAAACCATCATTAGTTTTACTTTTTAACTGTATCCATTGGAATTGTATTGGAAGGTTTCATTAAGGTATTCCTCAGAGTAGACTTGAATGTGGGAAAGATGAGTATTCATAAATGATAACGAACAATGATTATTTTTTTCCATTTATTTTTATTAGTTGGAGGCTGATTACTTTACAGTATTGTAGTGGTTTTTGCCATACATTGACATGAATCAGCCATGGATTTACATGTGTTCCCCATCCCGATCCCCCCTCCCACCTCCCTCCCCATCCCATCCGTCTGGGTCTTCCCAGTGCACCAGCCCTGAGCACTTGTCTCATGCATCCAGCCTGGGCTGGTGATCTGTTTCACCCTTGATAGTATACTTGTTTCAATGCTGTTCTCTCTGAACATCCCACACTTACCTTCTCCCACAGAGTCTAAAAGTCTGTTCTGTACATCTGTGTCTCTTTTTCTGTTTTGCATGTAGGGTTAAACGATTAAGTATTAATTAGCAAATACATGTTTTGGGGACTTCTCTGGCACTATAGCGGTTGAAATACCTCTCTGCTAACACTGGGAGCACTGGTTCCGGCCCTGGTTGGGGAACCAAGATCACACGTGACATGCAGTGTGGTCAAAAGATTAAAAAAATCAAACATACTTTGTACATTAGGTGCCACTGCTGAATGGCTTAATAGTAAAAATCACGCACCCTTTAAAAACATTATTTAATAACCAACCACTACTGCTGATCCAGAAGGGATACTCTTTCTTATTAATGACAAACGTACTTTCTTGAGTAAACTTTCATCACTTGTTCCTTCTTCATTTTTTTTCACTCAGCGAAATTTATCTGATGCAAAAATATAATAAAGCAAGACCTATGTAATGCAGAATTAAAGTGGAGATTCATTAAAGCAGACTCCAGTTGAAGGTCATTTAATTTTTTAATCTGTCATAAAATTTGAAATTAAGGAAGCCCGTCTTTATTTATTTAAAAGCTTCTGTGGCTGTTCTGACCCTTCCTTGTGCGTTTGCCAAATGCCCTGTAAACAAAGCCTCCTCTGGGACAGAGATGGTTTTCTGGGCTTCTCCAGCTCCTTCCCTTCTCTACGCCACCCTCCGCCCCGGGCCCCGCCTCCCTCCGCCCCGGGCCCCGCCTCCCTCCGCCCCGGGCCCCGCCTTCCTCCGCCCCGGGCCCCGCCTCCCTCCGCCCCGGGCATCTCCGCGCAGGCCTCTGATTGGTTCAGAGCGCAGCCTTGCCTTTTAGGGACAGTTGTCGGGCTTTTAAAGTGGTAAGGAAAAGGGTGCAGTGGCTGCTTTTATCAACCAATCAACTATTTTCTTGCCAGATCCCCAAATATTCCCGGGCCAATGGAGGGGAGAGCCCAGGATGCCCGGGAGAGGCCGGGCTTAAGTTGAGTCGAGAGGCAGGCGCTCAGACATCTCTGGGGCCCCGCCAGCCCCCATCTGGCACTTGTCTGTGTCGCTGTCAGAGTCTGTCTTGCTCCGCGTTCCCTCGCAGGGGTGTGTTGGGGGGAATCCTCATTCCGACTCTCAAAATGGTTATCAAAGTGTTTGTTGCCACATCATCTGGGTCCATAGCGGTAGGTGTCTGATGGAATTCGGGGCCTTTCTTCTCGTCCTCTTTTCTGAAAAACTCAGACTTGGAAGTAGAAGCAGCGGGTATGGCCCAGCGCTGGGCTTACATTTCTTTTTGAGGCGTGTGTAAGTAAGCCTGCGAGCCCTTTGCTCTCTCCCTTGATCTGAATGGTGTAGAAGAAGTGTGTAAAACGTGTGATCTGGGGCAGCTGGGTGTGGAAGGGGATTCGAAGAAGGGGGGTGTGTTGGATGCTAGGACTTTTAATGTGTGATTTGTGTCTGTTGTGTCGCATCTTTGATAGAATCAGAGGCTTTTTTTTTTGGTGGAATGTTTCTGCCCTTCATCCTGTGAGACTTAGACAAATTTAAAATTGCAAGTAAATGACACTTTATGTAACAACACTTTTAGCGTATGATGGGCCAGATTACTAAAATGACCCTTTGCTGTAATGGCTTGTGTATGCGATGTAATCCTAAGGAAAGTGTAAAGTTAGCATGTGTAATACTATTATTTGAGGGTAATGATGTCACAGTGAAAAAAAAAACCAAACATCTCTGAGGGTAGAGATTTAAATGCTCTAGGAATCCAAACAGACCAAAAATAGGTGCTTTATCTGATTTCCTTGGGACAAGGCTGAGAATCACCCAGCCATCTCTCTTAGTCCAGCCTTCGTTATGTGCTTTAAGAAATAGGGGTAAGAGAGGGACTCATTTTATTCTTGGAAATGATTCAGGCTTTGATATTAGACTTGAAGCTGCAGTGTCTATCTGGGACTGATATTTGGACCGGCATTTTAGCATCTGGGAGGCTGTGGAGAGAAAACAGTTTTATTAGCCCTGAGAGGTGAAGATCAGCACAGGGGCTGTTTCCTTTTATATCTGATTCCTGGAACTTCTCGGGTTGCAGCTTGGATTTCAGTGGGCCCTCAGCCAGGATGACACCCTAGGCGAGTGACTGGCCCAGGGAACAATCCTAACAGCAGCTACTGAATGCCATCCTCCCTCCCCTATCACCCACCTCCAGCCCTGAAAGTTCACACCAGTTTCCAGAGAGGACAAGAGGAAAACTTGAGAAAAGAGCCTGGACCTTCCCTCTGACACAACTGTTTAGTGATCTGCAAAACATCTTTCATGATGTTCCAATTTTATGAAAAAATTCCAAATGTAAAACTGCAACGTCTTGTGTAGCTGTTGATGCCCTCAGAAACTTTAATCTACAGAAAGCACATTTTTGGATTGTTTAGATTAAAAAAAATTTTTTGTTAAAGAAAATGGCTTTCATCATGGAAAAATGGCTTTTATTGTGGGCTTCACATAATCTGTTGACATACTCATTGCTGGAAACTTTTACTGCTAACCTGTCAATCTTCTACATATTCCATAGATCAGGTCTGAGTGACCCTAGACATCCTTAACAAAGACAAAGAACAAACAAGTCCTTTCTTAGGATTTTCTGATTTCCTACATTCTTGAAATTTGGGAATGTGATTTAATTAGCCTGGGAGGATCTGGAGGGGTACTGTTTATTCCTGGATCTTGAAAAATCCTAGTTCATTCTGCTGCTGTAAGCAAATGTTTTGGTGCCACGTGGGACAATGTGACCTTGAGAAAGTTATTTCACCTTGCTAAGCCTCAATTTCCTTGTCTGTAAAATGACGATAAGAATAGAACTCAACTTATAGTGTTGTCACGAAGACTTAGGAAGTAAGTTAAGAGTGAGGGTCAGTAAGGGTCAGTAAGCCAAGAGTGCCCAGCATGGTGTCAAGTGCTCAATAAATATTATCATTATTAGTTAATGCTATAATTATCAGTTATTAATATTATAATTGTTATAACTATTGGATATTATAATTATTAGTTAATGTTAAATGTTAATAATATTATTAGTAATTGTTAATCAATATTGTTGTCATTGTTATAATTATTAGTTAATATTAGAAGGTCTTCATCTATGATGATGTTCAGAATAATTATCTCAAGCCACATACCTTGAAGAATTTCTGTCTTATCATAAAGAATAAGAACAGATTATTCCTACGGTGTCTGTGCTAATGATTTTTCGTGGTTGAGGGAATTTCACCCGGAAGTTTCTTTGTAGGACAACCCAGAGCAGCTGCCAGCACTTATGCTGTGTGGATGGTGGTTGGTCTACAAAACTTTTACTCCTTATTTCTTCAGTCTATATGCTTTAAAACTAGGTTCTTGCCTGTGACATCATCAGAGAGAGCATCATGACTTCTGTTGGGTGAATGAAATAAATAAAAAAGGAAAATACCAATTGTAATCTCTTGATGAAGATTACACATGCAGTTGTGTATTACACCTCTGTTTCAGCAGTTGATGCCAAACTGGTTCCTTGATTTACTACTTTAGAGACAGATGTGGGTGAAGAGACCCTGGGAGCAGGAAAAGGTTGTGTCTTCGTTTCTTACCATCCTGTCATCCTGAAGGCCACTGCTGCAAGGGTCTGAAGACAAAGGGGAGAGAGGACAGTCCTCCCTGTTTTCAAGATGCACAGTCCCTGAGCCACCATCATTAAGGACAGACTAATGATGGCTCATGGATTTCTTAGTCCTTTTTCCAGTCTTGGGCTTTCATGGTGGCTCAGTTAGTAAAGAATTTGCCCACAGTGCAGGAGACCCAGATTCTCTCCCTGGATTGGAAGATCCCCTGGAGAAGGGAATTGGCTACCCACTCCAGTATTCTTGCCTGGAGAATTTCATGGACAGAGGAGCCTGGTGGGTTACAGTCCACGGGGTCGCAAAAGAGTCAGACACAATTGAGTGACTAACCTTATCACTTCATAGAGGGAAAAACATAGCTCTTGAATAGATGACTCTGGGTGTGACCCTTGGAAAATTATTTAATTCACTGCACCTCAGTTTTGTTATCTTAAGATGGTGATCAGAATTCTTGCCTGGTGTGGCCATCAGGATGAGACAACGAGGTAACAGTGTGCTGGGTGCCCGACTGTGCAGCTACTCAACTTGTGGTGCGAAATGCTTTTCCATGCATTCCTCAGTTCTCACCAGCCCTGGGAGGAAGGCAGTGTTCTATCCATTTTGCAGATGAGGTGATGGACAAGCAGAGCTTCGGCTCAGATAACAACCTTCCCAGCCAGGATGGACTCGCTGGTCACCTGTCACTTAGATGCAGCATGCTTTGTATTACAGTGCAGTCACCTGTTTTGGAGAGGTTTCTAACTGTACAAGACAATAAGCGGGAGATGCCAAGTGAGTGACCCAAAGATCGGTCTGACGCATCACAGTCACCAAGAGTGGCTGGTGATTTCAGGACCCAGAATGACACTTTCTTTTTATTTTTTGATTTATTTTATTGAGGTATAGTTGACTTACCACATTGTGTTAATTTTTGCTGTATAGCAGAGTGATTCAGTTATATATTCATATACGCTCTTTTTCAGATTCGTTTCCATTACGATTCATCACAGGATATTGACTATGGTTCTCTGTGCTATATAGTCAGGCCTTGTCTATCTATTCTATATACACTCGTTTGCATCTGCTAATCCCAAACTCCCACTCCATCTCTCGCACACCCTCCGCCCTTTGGCAACCACAAGACTGTTCTCTTTGAGAATGACACTTTCTTATGAGTCAATGTAACAGGATAGGAAAACAGAGCTTTCTGAGCTTCCACTGAGGTCCTGAAGGCTCCAAGTGACACGGACCCTGAGGACCCCAGATCCTCCAGAGGGGCTGCTCAGAAGAATGAGGCAGCCTTGGCCATGGCACCCTGGAGAGGGGAGAAGGGGTGAGGCATGCAGGGAGAAGTGTGTCTGCCGTGAGGACTGTCTGCACCACTCCTGCCCTTGAAGCCACGAAGGGGAGGTCCCCTCTGGGGGCTGATGTATCCCTGGGGTCAGCTTGGGAGGCCATGCGGAGAAAAGCTGTACACCGACTGCAAGGAGTGGGGAGTGCGTAGTGGGGTTCCCTGAACAAGGGTCCACCAAGGGGGTGTTGCAGGAGAGTGCACCCGCACTCAAATGGGTATCAGAGTGTGGGCAAAGGCCACGTGCCAGCCAGGTGAAGCCACGTGTTCACCTCTCCCTCTGGACTCATCCTAAGACCCTTCTCCAGCCCCCAGCAGAATTCAAGTGCTCCAGACAGCTAGGAGAGCAGTGCTTTTGACTCATTTTAAGTGATTGGTGTTTGGGAAGTCCAGGATGGCAGATTTTATTTTTCTTCTCTTTTTTTGAATGAGGTGCTGAGAGATAAACTTTAATGCAATATCATGCTCCCAATAGTCAGTCGACTTTCTGTAGATGTAATTGCTTGTCTTGAGAGGGATAATAGTCAACAGATCTTCCTCTCCTGTTTTCTCCACTTTTCTTTGGCTTTCCAGAAGAGAAAAAATAAATCAGGACTTGGGAAAATGTTCTCCATCTATTTTGAAATTGTGGAATAAAATGAAATACTTTTCCATCCCACCTCAAGTCCTGAGGCATGATTTTTTTTAAGTTTTTCTTTTTTATAATTGACAGGTAGTTAATTTGCAGTGTTCTGTTAGTTTCAGGTGCATTGTATAGTGATTTAGTTAATTCCTGAGGCATGATTAATAGAGATGGGAATCTCGTCCGTGGGGAAGTGGACTTCAGCCAGGCTGAAGGTATTTGAGGAGCAAGGAAGAGAGGGGTTTGAACAGAATAAAGAATGTTGCCTTCTGAGTATTTAACTAAAAGTAAATCTACCTGAAATGAAGATGACTCTACTCTTTGAAACAGCAAAGTTATCTCTGAAAATAGCTAAAGGAGTAAGTAATTTATAAAGTGACAAAAGTAATTATGAACAGGTTGGAGAGTATGTAGAGAAAACATGATTAATTAAAGTAATAATTCAGTCCAACAACCTGTCATCATGTCTGATGGGATTTTCTGATATTCAGAAACTCCGCCGTGAGGCCGGGGAATTTGGAGTCCTGTTTCCACTAGAAGGACGAGGCGATCTGGGGTTTCCCTAGCATAGCCTTGGGGAAGCTCACCCTGGTGGGGAGGTAAGCAGTCTGTCCATTGGTTCTGAGAGATGTGACACTCAGGAATGTGCCCAAGTGCTTATGCCAGATTCTTAAGGGACCTTCCATCATTCTATTCCTTTCTGTATGACTTCTGTTTTTATTTTTTGTCTACCCTTGTCCCAAACTGAAATAGATCCCTTGGCCTGAGTCTTATGGATTAAATGTTGTATTGTAGCTAAGAGCAGCCTTTAATTTATTGACCTAATGCTTTTAGTTGCTTTATCTTTGTTATGTTGATGGTGCAAATGTTAATTAAGAAAACATATGATTACCATTTATATATGGGTATATGTAATTCATATACAAAAATTTATATATAATTTATATTTAGGTAAGTATTAGATACTCAATCGTGTCCAGCTCTTTGTGACTCCATGACTGTAGCCTGCCAGGCTCCTCTGCCCTTGGGATTCTCCAGGCAAGAATACTAGAGTGGGTTGCCACTCCCTTCTCCAGGGGACATTCCTGACCCAGGGATCTAACCCAGATCTCCTTCATTGCAGGCAGATTCTTTACCATCTAAGCCACTAGGGAAGCCCATAATTTATATTCACTGTACATTAATTGAAATTATAAAACAGTAATTTAGATTAATTAAATTATTAAACAGTAACATTATACTTATAATTAATATGCTATGTCTATATATAATCAAGTCACCACCCAAACCAAATTACATAGGGTTTGTTTTTGGTGGTGATTTGATTCTAGGGCATAAGCATCCATGAGTGTCTTTCTTTACCTTACCTTAGGAAAGAACCTCTACACAAAAGTCATTGATATCATCAATCATTTTGGCAAAAATGAATAAAATAAGAATTTTGGGGAGGTGTATAAATCTCTGAAAGCTCAGCCGGTAAAGAATCCTCCTGCAATGCAGGAGACCCTGGTTCTATTCCTGGGTCGGGAAGATCCGCTGGAGAAGGGATAGGCTACCCATTCCAGTATTCTTGGGCTTCCCTGGTGGTTCAGCTGGTAAAGAATCCGCCTGCAATGTGGGAGACCTGGGTTCGATCCCTGGGTTGGGAAGATCCCCTGGAGAAGGGAAAGGCTACCTAATCCAGTATTCTGACTTGGAGAATTCCATGGACTGTATAGTCCATGGGCTGGCAAAAAGTCGGACATGACTGAGTGACTTTCACTATATAAATCTTTATCGAATGAATTGGGTTTAAACAAAAGAGGATTTGAATCTAGATGTTGGGTTTAGGATGGGCATGTACCTTTTTAGCATTTGTTTGGAATCCTCAGAATCTAGTCCTTCTGCTGATAAACAAGTTACATGAAATGACAAGGGGACTCATATCCTAGAAAACATTCTTAATGACTATTTTCGTTGTGAGGCAATACTCCATTCAGAGGACTTAAGATACTGGATATTTTTATGTCAAAGAAGATACTAATTTAAACTTTTAATTTTAAGAAAGGACTGTATTGTGGCTCTTTATCATCTGTACAAATGAGTTCTTGACATTTTTTTTTTTTACCCAAATAACATCTTATGAATCTATTCGTGTGAAGAGCTTGGCACCATATCTTGTGCAGAGCAGGGAATCAATAAATGAGTATTGATTGGCTTATGCTATTGATCATTCTGAAGTTTCTCCCAGAGTTCTTGCAATGTGGTCCACAGTCTGCTGTAACTTGTTTACCAGTGTTTATAAAAAAGATTGGTGGTCCAGTGGGTAAGACTCCAATGCAGCAGATGCGGGTTTGATCCCTGGTCAAGGAACTAAGATCCCACATACCCTCAGTCAAAAAAAAAAAAAAAAGTTATCATGCGTTCTGGGAGTGAATTCCTTGACTTAAGAGAGAAAAATTCTGACTGAAGAGAGAAAATTGTAATTGTTTCTGGGGAAGGAGTGCTAAGATTTCAAGATGGCCACATTCACAAAGAAATGACATTGGTAGGTACAGTCCTTACTTGTGAACCACGTGTGGAGAAAAGGGCCCCTGGGTTTTCTCTTAGGTGTGGCTGCACTTTCATTTTACTTAAAGAGCTGGATGTGAGTAGAGAACAGTTACTGCATTACTCTTTCATGTGCCAGGAGAAATATACACCAGCTTTTCTAGTTTTTTTTTTCCTGCTCTTCTTTTTCCAATAATCTCCATGTGGACTTTTCAGTTTCCTGTGTTATTTCTAAAGCTACTTTTGTTCAGCCTGACTCATGTTCCCATTTTCATAACTGTGAATAGTGCCTTTTAGTGTGGGTGTACTTGGTATTTGAGTTTCATAGTAAATTGTGTTTTTTTCTTCTATCATCTTGTTCTTTGTAACCAATCCCTATTTATTGTTTGGCTTTAAAGCTTAGCAGAGAATTAAAAGTATTTTGAAGACCTCAAATAAAAGCTATGATGATAATATCTCTATTCCTATTCAGTTGACTATATCATGATTTAAACATTGATGAGATTAAAATTTCAGAATTTAAATGATTGCTCTGTTGATCCAATGGGATGAAGAAGTGTGATTTTATGATTTTTCTTGTTTAAATACTTAGCAAAGCTATTTGTATTGTATGGTATAGTTGGAGAAAGGGTTTTTACAAAACAGCCTAATGGTAATCTTTTTCTTCTCGTGACTAGATTAGAAAGAAACAGCAAGAAGTTGTGGGCTTTTTGGAAGCTAATAAAATCGATTTTAAGGAGTTTGATATTGCTGGAGATGAAGACAACAGGAAGTGGATGAGAGAAAATGTTCCTGGAGAGAAGAAACCTCAGAATGGGATTCCGCTGCCTCCTCAGATCTTTAATGAGGAGCAGTATTGTGGGGTGAGATTTAGTTTCTCTGAAAATTTTTCTGCATGTGTGTTTATCAGAAATTAAAGCAAATAAGCTTTGAGGTAGTGTTTACATTTGTTGACATTTTTCAGCTTGTGATCTATTTCTACCATTCAATACCTGGATGGTTAGATCCATGGTGAAGAATAAATAGTTAAGATTTAAAAAATGATAGAAACAATAAAATGATGATTCAGAAGTTCTTGGGATTCCTTTAGGTTTTTTTCTTTTATTTTGAAGAAAGGAGGCCACTTGTTCAGACAAAACAAGTGTTTAGTTGAAAAGACATTCTGATCAACCTGGTAGGGTACACATACCTGCATCCACTGGGTACACGTTCACCTTTGTAAAGAATGATTTGCAGAAGTAAAGTTTTGTGTGAAAGTGAAAGTGTTAGTCCCTCAGTCATGTCCAACTCTTTGTGATCCTTTGGCCTGTAGCCTCCAGGCTCCTTTGTCCATGGAATTCTCCAGGCAAGAATACTGGAGTGGGTTTCCATTTCCTTCTCCAGGGGGCCTTCCAGACCTAAGATCGAACCTGGGTCTCCTGCATTGCAGGCAGAAAGTTTTGTGTAAATGCATCTAAAATGGCTAAAAAACTGTTCTGGACACCCTTCCTCCTTGTGAGGACACAACAAGAAGACGACCATTTATGAACCAGAGAGGGGGTACTCAACCAGACACTGAATCTGTTGGCACCTTCACCTGGGACTTGCAGCCTCCAGATATGTGAGAAATAAATGTCTGTTGTTCGTAAACCACCAAAAACAACAAAACAAAACCAACAAAAACTCTTCTGGGCATTTAATTATAATAGCAATTTTATTTTATACATTTAGTCATTCATTTTACCATAAAATCACTTTTTCCTCAGGGTTTATAGATTCTGCTTAGTAAATCAAATTGTTGAAAAGAAACATTTAAAAGCTCAAAGGACTTTGGAGCATGAGAACTGGAGTTAGCTTTGGGGGGTCATCTAAGTCTTCCAGGTCATTTTTCAGATTTGGCCATCATGCTTCTAATTACCCAGAGCTGTGCTGTTTCTGGAGGTTGGAGCCTGGCATAGGATTTTTTCACTCACTTCTTCTCTTTTATAAAAAATTAATTATTTATTAAAAAATTATAAGCAATTTTTTTTTTTTTGGCTTCACCACCTGGCATGTGGGATTGTAATCCCTCGTCCAGGAATCAAACCTTTGCCCTTTGCCTTGGAAGCATGGAGTCTTAACCACTAGACTGCCAGGGAAGTCACCACTTTTCTCCTTGCTATACAAAACTGCTGGTCCTTTAGCTCAGCTTCTCTTTATTATTATATTTCTCAATTAAAGCAAGTGTCATCAAACTATAGCCCAAGTGCCAAGGCCTGCAGCTATGTGTTTTCATGAAATTTTATTGGACATGCCTGCACTAATTCGCCACCTAATGCCTATGGCTAATTTTGCATGATGGTAGAGCTGAGCAGTGGCAACAGAGACCATCTGACCCACAAAGCCAGAAACATTGAGATTTACTATCTTTTCTGGTGTTTCAGATAGTATAGAATCTTCCTGCAAAGTAGGAGATCCAGGTTTGATCCCTGAGTCAGGAAGATCCCCTGGAGAAGGAACTGGCAACCCACTACAGTATTCTTGCCTGGAGAATCCCATGGACAGAGGAGCATGGTGGGCTACAGTCCATGTGGTCTCAGAGGCAGACATGACTGAGTGACTAGATGACATGACATGACATTTACAGAAAAGCTTTCAGACCTCTCATTTGAAGCATGAATTGTTCTGCTGTTGGGGGTTTATATTACTTTCTTAGGGATGATATAACAAAATACCACAAACCTGGTGATTCTTATGGACTGTATGTTCGTGTCCCCCCTAAATTCGTATATTGAAGTTTTAAGGCCCAGGGTGATGGTATTTGAAGAAGGGATCTTTGGGAGGTGATTAGGATCAGATGAAGTCCTGTGGGTGGGGCCTTCATGGTGGGATTAGTGCCCTTCTGGGAGGAGGAAGAGAAAGAGACCCCTTTCTCTTCATCTTGTGATCACACAGCCAGGGGCAACTGTCTGTGAGCCAGGAAGAGAGCAGCACTCAGTGATGCTGAACCCAAAACACATTTCTGTTAGTAAGCCACCCAGTCTATGGCATTTTGTTATGGCATCTCCAGCTGATGGTTACAGTGCTTTAAAACAACAGAAATTTATTCTTTCACAGATCTGGAGGCCAGAAGTTTCAAATCAAGGTGTCAGTAGTGTTGGTTTGTGCTGCAGGCTCTAAGCAAAAATCTCTCCATGTGTCTCTCCTGGCTTCTGGTGGCTTCCAGCCATCTCTGACAGTCCTCCACTTGTTGACACATCATGTCCATCTCTGCCTCCATCTTTACATGGCCTTCTTCTTGGGGTCTCTCTGTGTCTTCACATGGCTTTCGTATAAGGGCAGAAGCCACTGGAATAGGGTCCACCCTAGTCCAGCATGGCCTCATCATAAGTAACTACATCTGTGAAAGTAAAAAGAGAAAGTGTTAGTTGCTCAATCATGTCTGACTCTTTTCGACCCCAGGAATTATAACCCACGGAGTTATAACTCCTCTGCCCATGGGGTTCTCCAGGCAAGTATACGGAGTGGGTAGTCATTCCCTTCTCCATGGGATCTTTCTGACTCAGGGATTGAACCCAGGTCTCCAGCATTGCAGGTGGGTTCTTTACCATCTGAGCCACCAGGGAAGCCAATATCCCAATTTGCAAATAAGGTCATTTTCTGAGATTTTGGGTGGACATGGCTTTTGGGTAAATTCACGGGCTGTGTGAATTTACATGGCTGTGTTAGGCTTCTTCAGAGGCTGAACTTAAAGTCCTGTGGATGTGAAAGTGTTTTCAAACATGTTTAAAGTGTTGAGCAATTATTTAGTGGAACTTATGGCCAGTCCCTTGGACTGCAAGGAGATCAAACCAGTCAATCCTAAAGGAAGTTAACCCTAAATATTCATTGGAAAGACTGATGCTGAAGCTGAAGCTCCAATACTTTGGCCACCTGATGCAATGAGCTGACATATTGGAAAAAACCCTGATGCTGGGAGAGACTGAAGGCAATAGGGGTAGGTGGTATCAGAGGATGAGATGTTATATAGCATCACTGACTCCGTGGACATGAATTTGAGCAAACTCCAGGAGATAGTGGAGGACAGAGGAGCCTGGTGTGATGCAGTCCATGTGGTCACAAGAAGTTGGACACGATTTGGTAACTAAACAAGGAACAATGGTCCAGTCCAGCTCTCTTGTGATTGACGCTGGGGCTTCCCAGAGTGAGGAAAGTATTTCCTTGGGAAGGGAGGGTCCCTCCCCTGTACACCACGCTCCTCCCCCTGCACCCTCCAGACTGCTTGGCTTCTGGATGTCTCTCCAACCTGACCTGAATTTCTAAGAACTGTGACTCTTATTAGATGAGGAAAGGAGAAAAAGGCTTCTTAGGGTGGGGGACAATGGTGATGGCCAATTTTTATTTTTTAGAAATTAAAAATTTATTTATTTATTTGTCTGCACTGGGTCTTAGTTGAGCCATGAGGGATCTTCTGTTGTGGGGCACGGGCTCTCTAGTTGTGGGGTGAGGGCTCAGAAGTTGAAGTGTGTGGGCTCAGTTGCCTAGTGGCATGCGGGATCTTAGTTCCCCAACCAGGGGTCCAATCCACAGTCCCTGCTGCAAGGTGGATTCTTAACTACTGGGCCACCAGAAAAGTCCATATAAAATGTATTTTAATAATCGAAAAATGAGTCTGTGTGCACACAGAAAAATTAAAATGGTTTCAGAGTTGTCCACAGTGGAGATGATTCTTCCTCCCACTTTAGACCCCTCTAATTCCTTTTTCTGAGGTGGGCCAACTTTATGAGCCCACCACCTGGCAAGTGACACCTGGCCCCACTCAACAGAGCACTCTGCTTGTTTTTGCACTCTACTGTTGCTGTCTTGAAATTCATAATGATTTTTGGAAAAGGGTTGCCTTGTTTTGTCACTTTATTTTTATCACTTTATTTGCACTGGGCCCTGCAAGTTATGTAGCCATCCTGCTTTGACCCACCAGTGTTGGCAATTTCTTGTTTGGCCTTCCATGAATTTTGTATGTGTATTAACCATAGTTAATCACTTAAAAAAATGGGAATAAACTCTATACACTTTGTTCTTTTCACTTAATAACTGTATCTCAGAGGTTATTGCAGAGCTGCACATATTTTTTTAAAAAAGCTTTTTAAAATTTTATATTGGAGTATATAGTGTGTTAGTTGCTTAGTTGTGCCCGACTCTTTGCGACCCCATGGCCTGTAGCCCACCAGGCTCCTTTGTCCATGGGATTCTCCAGGCAAGAATACTGGAGTGGGTGGCCATTTCCTCCTCCAGGGGATCTTCCTGACCCAGGAAATGAACCCATGTCTCCCACTTTGCAGGCAGATTTTTTTTTTAACCACTGAGCCACCATGGAAGCTCAGGAGTGGGATTGGTGGGTCACATATTCTTTATTTCAATGGTTGCAAAACATTCCATTGTATATGACATAATTAATTGGCACAGTTCTCCAATGGGAACCATTCAGATTGTTTTCAGTTTTCCTCTGGCTCAGCCTGCAATGCAGGAGACCTGCATTCAACTTCTGGGTTGGGAAGATCCCCTGGAGAAGGAAATGGTAACCCACTCCACTATTCTTGCCTGGAAAATCCCGTGGACAGAGGAACCTGGCAGGCTATAGTTCATGGGGTCTCAAAGAGTCGGACATGACAGAGCAACTTCATGTCTCTTCTCAGCTACAGACAATGCTGCAGAAGTCTCTTTACCCATACAGAGCTTTGTGTTTAGTCTAAGTGTATATATAGGATAAATTCCTAGAAGGTGTGCTGAGTTACAGCATATATGCATCTCACATTTCAATAGATATTAAATCTGGACTGTAGTTGCACCAGCTTATATTTGGGTGTGGCTGGTTTCCTGTGACTTTGACAATACTTTGTATGCAAAC